ATTTCCAAAGTGTAAACAGAAGTTAATGAGATTTTTAGGAATGGCAGAATTCTACTGTAGATTTTGTAAAAATTTCTCCGCACTTGTAGCTCCTTTTTCCTAAGAAAGAATGTGAGTTTTGAGTGGTCCATGGAATGCACAGATGCATTTGAGAAAGTGAAAGCCATTCTTTCAAATCAGCCTGTTATGATGGCTCCAGAGTTTCAGAAAGCATTTTCGTTGATGATCGACGCAAGCGTGTGGGGGCTAGTGCTGTGTTGGGACAGAAGGATGGTAATTGCATCGACAAGCCAATGTGTTTCTTTTCGAAGAAATTTAACATTCGTGAGAAACGATACTCTACTGTTGAAAAGGAGACATTAGCCTTGATGATTGCGTTGAAACATTTTGATGTTTATTTGGGAACTACTCCGTTTCCCATCGTCGTTTGAATAGACCATAATCCATTGACGTTTTTGGCTAAGATGAAGCAGAACAACCAACGCTTGTTGAGATGGAGCTTAGCAGTTCAAAGAGATGAATTTAAAGATTCGTCACAGCAGTGGAAAGGAGAATGGTGTAGCAGATGCTCTGTTTTGATTTAAAATTACAAGTTCAAAATACTATGTATTCGTTTGAAGAAAGTGTTACAGTATTATTGTACACTATATAGAGTTAATACGGTAACGATCACAGTTTTTATCTGCAGTTATTTGTTTTATTTCATATCATAATTGCCCAAGGACACAAGCAATTTGCACAGCGAGAGTTTCGAACCCCTGACCTCAAGGTTGGGAGTCCAATCCACAATCGATGCGCCAACCACTTCTACATTTATAGATATTTACGTCTGGGATCTCAAAAATTTAAATGACCCTCCCATTTACAACTTTGACTGATTCGTCGCCAGCACGTAATAATTTTTTCCTTGTAACTTTTTCTTGTGCTAAAATGTTGCATTCAGGTCAGTTGATCCGTTTTTGAAATATGTGGTCAAAGAAGCTTCTCTTTAAATGGTCTTCAGATCCCTTATATAATAATGATGATGATGATGATGATAATACAGTAAATATAAAAATAACAATACGGATGATGTTTGCCCTAGCTGACGAATTAGTATACTAAATACTCAGCATGTACCCAAAATACTTGCAAAGAAAAATGTAAGAATCGAACCCACGACCTCCAGATAACCAGCCTGGTGTACCTTAACC